AAACATAGAGAGGAAAACAAGAAAAGGGACAAGAAAAGAGGGACAAAACCTAGAACAAACAATTTTTGTCTCTTCTATTAAAATTTCTGTATCTGTATTTTATGTGTTCTCTTTTCAATTCAGAGGGCCCCCTGCCTGTCTCTGCCTAGGGCCCCAGGTTTCCTAAATCCGTCCCTGTCAGTACCTAATGCCTCCTCCAGGAACACTCTGGTTTGATCCAGTGCTTTCATGTGCTGACCCAAAGCCTGACTGTTCTTCTGTTCAGTTTGAAGGATAATGCTGGGATAAAACTGGCATCAGGAACCATTAGAACATTCTGGGTTCTTAAAAGTTCCATACGGGACATTCTGGAGTAAGCTTTTAGATCAGGGACGGGCAATTCCAGTTCCTGAGGGCCTCTATCCTGCAACTTTTAGATGCACCTTTGGTTCAACACACCTGAATCAAATAATTAGATGATTGAGAGGACTCTGGAGGAACTGACTGCATATTAAGGAGGTAACTGATTCAGGTGTGTTGGACTAAAAGTTGCAGGATTACGGCCTCCAGGAACTGGAACTGTCCACCCCTGTAATCTAGATGAATCCCTGAAAAAGGAGAAATCCTAAGCCATGAAGACATTATTTTTTATCTTTAATATATAAATCATAAAACAAAACAGATGTGTTGCTGCTTTATCTTCAGCCTTAGACTATTTTAACTTTAACAAACCCATGGGGTTCTAAAAGCAGCCCATCCCAGGTTCTGATCCACTCCACGCACTTCTCAGTGGGACTCACATGAGAAGCGGGACGGTCTGCCGCCCAGGCCGCACTGCTTCACCCTCTCTCCGTGAAAAAGTCCGTAGCTGAGATCTCCCACGAACTGGTCCAGTTCGGCTCCGGTGGCGTTGACCAGTTCGGCCCCGGTTCTGCAGAGCACGGACCCGCGGAGCCAAAAGGGCAGGCCGGTGATGACGGCAGTCGACAGGGCGCAGCAGAGGCTCAGGACGCCAGCGGAGCAGAACAGGACCTGCTTCTGACGGTTCGGCATGATGGGTCCGGGTCAGGCTGGGCGGGACTCCATGGGGTCCGAAAAATCCAAACTAAACCGCAGGGATTAATAACTCCCAGGATTATTGCTGTTCTGCTAGATCTGACGGTCCATCAGAACAGGGATCAGATCAGATGACACCTCCTCTGCTGCTCCCCCGTCACCATAACAACGGTGCCTCCAATTACCTCCTGGATGGTAGGAGGATCATAACTGTCCCATAAACTCTGACTGATGGCTGAGTGTCTCAGAACCGTCCTACTGACCTCTGTTTTCTATACAAACAGTGTCAAACAAACATTAAACTCACCAGAACCTTAAATCCATCACAGGTCTTAATGAAACATGGTCAAAGAAAGGTGAGTGGGTCAGAACCAAACTGTTGACAGCAGGGGGCGCTCTCTGCTAGCAGATCCAAACTAGTTAAGAGAATCGGTTCAGTTAATTGATTTCTATGGAAGCCCGTTTCCGCCAATCTGTTAAAAAACTAAATAACTTATCTCATTATGATGAGATATTATCTCAAAATAATGGGATTCTATCTCATGAGATAGTATCCCATTATTTTGAGATAGTAACTAAAAAATAATAGCTCATTATTATGAGACGGGAACTCTCATTATTATGAGATAGTATCTGATTAAAATGAGTTACTATCTCATAATAATGAGATATTATCTCATAGTAATGAGATACTATCTCATCATAATGAGATAGTATCTCATTACTCTGAGATACTATCTCATCATAATGAGATAGTATCTCATTATGATGAGATAGTATCTCATTATGATGAGATAGTATCTCATCACTATGAGATAATATCTCATTATTATGAGATAGTAACTCATTATTATGAGATAGTATCTCATTATGATGAGATAGTATCTCATCATAATGAGATACTATCTCATAATAATGAGATAGTATCTCATAGTAATGAGATACTATCTCATTATGATGAGATAGTATCTGATTTAAATGAGTTACTATCTCATAATAATGAGATATTATCTCATAGTAATGAGATACTATCTCATCATAATGAGATACTATCTCATAATAATGAGATAGTATCTTATTATTATGAGTTACTATCTCATTATAATGAGATAGTATCTTATTATTATGAGTTACTATCTCATTATAATGAGATAGTATCTCATAATAATGAGATACTATCTCATCATAATGAGATAGTATCTCATTATGATGAGATACTATCTCATCATAATGAGATAGTATCTTATTATAATGAGTTACTATCTCTAATGAGATACTGTCTCCAACTCAACTCAAACTAACTCAAAATAATGAGTAATTATTATTATTATTTTTTTTTTTAACAGAGTGTCGGAAACGGGCTTCCACAGTTTGCCTTCTGGTTTTTGACAAGCCCCGGATGTGATGAAGCACATAACTTTCCAAAAGACTGGTGTGGACATGTCCCCTCCAATAATTTCAATACAAACACTTTGACTCTCTACAATGAGGGACTAAATTTCTAATTGATTTTGATGCTTCTGAAGGAGGATAATCACTGATGTAGCTGAAAGGGAAAACATCCATCAACCTATTCACACTTTTCTGGATGGATTGATGGATGCATGAAACTGGGGAGGCAGGAAATATTGCTGTTGGCATCGGAATTGGCTGTTAGTCCTCTTTTTTTCATATAGATTAATGTCTGACTATAAATTTATATATCAGTGTATTTGGGTTCTTTTGTGTTCTTAACAATTGGACAGCATTAAATAAAAATGAGTTTGAGCTCATTTTTGGAAAATGCAAGCCCTATTGAAAGTGTCAGTGTCTAGTAACTGTAGGTCCATCAGCCCCCACCCTTAGAGTGTCCCACTCCCCACCGACTTTCATCACAAAGTTACACCCTGATAATGAACAACCCGGTTCTGGTTCTTCAACAGCTGGATGAACCTTAGAAATAACCACCGTTTGGAGCTTTTGTCGGTGTGGACACCAGGGGGAACCGCTGTTACACCATGAACTCCGCCAAGGATGAGTCACGTGACCTGCTGAGGGCCAAACCTCTGCAGACCCCTGTGCGGGTCCAGACTCTGGTCCGGACAGACTGAGCAGGAGCAGCAGAACTTTTAACCACATCATGAGGTGAGTTCCAACTGATTATTGATCGATGATCAGTTATTGATCAGAGCAGAAATATTTTTATTTGGGCTCACAGAATCCGGGCTTTTGGTCTGAGTGAGGTTTTGGTTCTGACCTGCAGTGAGGCTGATTGAACCTCATCTGAGAACAGATGCTGAGTTCTGACTGATTCTCCTTCTAACCAGAAGTCTAGTTGTAGAAAAACAAGAAGGGGGATTTTTTTTTTTTTGGAAGCATACATAGCCTAATTAATATAGTCTATTAACCTAAAGCACTATGCATGGTATGGTTGTTACATGTCATTGATCTTAACCAAGGCACCTTAAGGTAGAACTGTACTGGCATGGCTATCACTGCCATACTTAGGGACTAATGCAGAGGACTAATTTCCCACTGGGATCAGCTTCATAGTCCTGGTATGCCACTTCTTTGATTTTATCTATTTTGCTCAGGCTACTCGTAAGCCCACGGCCCGCCAAATGTTAAAGGTGCAATATTATTGCCATTTCTGGTAATATATAGTAGAAATTTTACACATTCAGTGATAAAATGTTACAGGGGGATGGTATGGGGTGATGGTCATTTAAGAAGGGGGATGATTTTTAAGATTTTGAGGATGCTATTCCCTCTCATCCCCTCTCAACTCGAGTTTGTTTCTAACTGATCAGAAGAAAAGAACAGGGACACAAGCAGGATCATGTGAGCCCAGGGCTGCAGCATTTCCAGTTCTGGTGCCTGACCCATGTTCCTTTTAGCAAATAAAGTTTTCACTGGATAGAAAGAACCTGCACAATACCCACATAGAGTCAGCACGTTGGACAGTACCAATACTCTTTGGTTCTGATCCACTTGACTTTGATTCGGATCAGTTCTGATTCATTTTCATTGACTGGCTCTGATCTGCTTCTCTCTGATCCAGCTCTTTATAAGTTGTTTTGTCTGATCTGTTGCTCTCTGGCTGGTTCTGATACCCCCCGCTCTCTCTCTCACTCTGCCTTAGGATTTTCATCTTCTCCATGCTGATTGGGTTTGGATGCAGCACTCAGCTGCTGTCGGAGATGTACGGTATCATTATGTCTCCGGGCTTCCCAGAGCCGTATCCCAGAGACACTGAGCGAAACTGGAACATTAGCGTTCCTGCAGGGTTCCGGATCAGCCTGTTCTTCACCCATTTTGACCTGGAACCATCCTACCTGTGCGAGTATGATTATGTCAAGGTAAGCAAGAAACACCTGCTCCTGGGTCAGGGGCTATCAGAAAGCCCATCAGAACTTCTTCAACAGATTCAGGGAAGTGTGGCTCATCGACTTGAGAAAAACAGAAACTAGGGATTGGATCAGGGATGAGATTATGAATGTTTCTCCTTGACCAGAGGTCAGTCAATCATTGGCTGATTCTGGTTCAGATCTTAAAATATAGCTTTAAAGTTCTGAAAAAAAACAAAAACAAAACCAAACCTTCCTGGAGTCCATCTGCTGCTGTTTAACACTCGTTTGTAATAAGATGTTGCAGAGCTACAGAGTTGATTCAGTCAGAGTATGTTCCCCCTGGTGTCCACACCGACAAAAGCTCCAAACGGTGGTTATTTCTAAGGTTCATCCAGCTGTTGAAGAACCAGAACCGGGCTATTCATTATCAGGGTGTAACTTTGTAATGAAAGTCGGTGGGGAGTGGGACACTCTAAGGGTGGGGGCTGATGGACCTACAGTTACTAGACACTGACACTTTCAATAGGGCTTGCATTTTCCAAGCAGATTCTTCCCACCTGCTGCTGAATAATCTATTCTGCTGCTGTAAGTGTTTACACGCATACTACTGCAGAGGTTCCTAAACACCTCCGTTCCTGACCCCAAAACTAACAACACTACAGACCTGATATCCCATAAAGTTTACCTAATTACTTTTCCTTCATATTTACTTATGCATAGAAAGTAAATCATATTTGTTTTTAGATGAACAAACATTTTATTATTAAAGTCATCATTTTAAATGTTTTTAATGGCATTGAAAGTTGCATTTAACAATTTAATGGTATAATTATTGATAAAAACAGAAATTATATTTAAATAATACATCATAATGCCCCTAATCCTTATTTTATGGTATAAATATATATGTATATATCTAAAATTTCCTGGGAAATTCATATTCATGAATTAATCTATTCCAAAAATTTTACCGTTCTATTCCCCTTAACACATGTTAAAGAGCAGAGATGTTAATGACTATTTTTTTCAGCTGCTCTGTTAATATTTGGGTTTTATTACATTGTTTTTACGAATATTTGGCTAAAATGCTGCTGATTTTCTTTTTCCCCCACTTCAATACACATTTCTGCTGTCCATCTCTGACAGCACTGCAAAAGCTGATCTCAAGATAAGTCAAAATTATTTATAAACAACTGTATATCAGCTATTAATTTAAACAGGAACATGGAATTATCTGCTGATGGAATGGGCATTTTTTGGCACTTGCAAATAAGGATGTATTTGTTTTTGTTTTAAATATGAATCACAGTTTTCCTTTGGCACATTCTCATATTTACCTTCTCAAAACAAGGTAAGAATACACTTATTTAGATTTCAGATTTAGCGTTGAGGTGTTTAATTTCTCTATTGTTGAACAGCTTAACTCAAATGTTCCTTTGATATCTTTCAGTCTTCCGTCCGCCTGCTTGTTTTTGCCTCCGTCACACCTTTACTCACTGAGAGACAACAGAGGCATTTCTTATGTTACATATTTTATTTTTTGTTGTTACATAAAGCCTTCTGCTTTTGTTTACTAAGAAACTACAATGGGTCTGGTTGCTTTTAGTGCCAAAATCACAAAGGTTTTTATCCTAAACTACGTTTTAAAGCTGTTCAGAAGTGACCCGGACACAGAACTGAAGTAAACAACCCAAACAGCAGTGTTTAGGTGTGAAGGTCGGCCTCAGAGGAATAATAACGTTTAGTTCTGAAAGAGGATGTCACTATAGAACATTAAGAGGACTTGTGGACAAAAGATAGTTGGACAAACTTTCCTCTTCCCATTCCAAAAAAGTAAAAAAAAAAAAAAAAACAATCGGCTGGACTTTGTTTCCACATTTGAAGACGTTTCGCTTTTAATCCACAAAGCTTTTTTTTAATTCAAAATGTGAGAAATAGCAGTGAGTTATAGAGTGGACCAAAAAACAAAGCCTTATTTTGGCTTAGACGCTTAGGTCCACTCTATAAAGCCTCAAACTAAACGCTATTTCTCACATTTTGAATTGAAAAGGCTTCCTGGATGGGAAGAGAGATGTCTTCAAACTTGGAAACAAAGTCCAGTTTTTAAACTTTTTTGGAATGACTATGACCTGGATGACTGAGAATCTTCACCATAATTTTTTCCTATTCCCATATCCAACAAAGATTTAAGAATATACAGGTATAATGTCTCCAGAGCCAGTTAATAGCGGTTTATTCTGGTGTCGGAGCGGATTCACTGTCTCTAGTCTGAGGTTCTGAGTATCTCCGTAGATGTTGGTTGGAGTGTGTTTCAGTCCGTTTGTGCCGGTGCCCTTGGGTCCATTGACCCCCCCACCCCCCAGCTCTCTGGGTCAGATAAACAGCAGCTGAAGGTAAACAAAGCTGCTAGTCTGTTTTTTCTCCTCAGTTTGGATTTGACCCTGAGGGACCCTGATCTCTGGGAGGTTAGCAGTTCCAGTTTGGCAGGAGAATCAGCCTCAAGTTCTGTTCTCTCCTGCTGCTGATGTTGGACATTATATAATCATATTTAGAACAGTTCTGTTTCCTGTCCACCTCTACTGTTCTGGTTCTGATTTTCCAGAGTCTGACGTTATCCGGGCTGCTGTGTTGCTGTGCAGGTGGAGGCAGAGGGGAAGGTGCTGGCTGTGTTCTGTGGGAAGGAGGAGACGGATACAGAGCAGGTACCGGCCCAGCGGGTCATCACTTCCCATAGAAACTCCCTCAGCATCCGGTTTTCTTCGGATTTCTCCAACGAGGAGCGGTTCTCCGGCTTCGTGGCTCACTACAGCGCTGTGGGTGAGGAGCAGCGGTTCCCCTTCATTTACCAGCATGTCTCAGTCATACCATCCATCAGAACCGCCGCACCAACTTGGAAAATCCCAAAGGAAACTGGACTTTTTCTGGACAAAAGTTGTATTTTGATTAGATTTTCAACACCAAGACTTTTTAAACTTTTCAGATTTTTCCACACATTGTTTATATTAATCTATATTTTTGATTTAAACTCCAAAAATGCAATGTATTCATTTTATGCACCAGAGCAAAGCTATTTTCATTCACTTTCACCAAGGTATCTTTTGCTGCTGTAGGACCTTCAGTTAAATCAGCTCAGAGAACAGGAAGATTCCTAAACAACAAATCAGCCTTTTTTAGGTTCTTTTTTGGCAGCAATCCATCATGGAGGACATTCTTTTCTTCTTCTGCAGATGTGGACGAGTGCAGCGAGCACAGCGACGAGGAGCAGCTCTGCGATCACTTCTGCCACAACTTCATTGGGGGATACTACTGTTCCTGTCGCTATGGATACCAGCTGCACACAGATAACCATACCTGCAGAGGTGAGTCAGCCAGCGCCCCCTAAAGGCTCAAGTAGGGCCTTTCTTAATCCCAGACAGACCCACCCATCTTGCCTGGTGTCAAACCCACCAATTGAAATCATCAGTCGGTGTTCTGATGGACGGTCATGATTTATCCCTGTGCTTTTGAACCACTGATCTTTATTTATTCACTAGATCGCTGATTGCCCGTGGGTAGTACGGGGTTAAAGTGAAGCCAAAGGCTGCCATTTTGGTACTCCCTTGTTAAACCGGTCGCAATGTAAACAATATGTGCGCTACAGCATCAAACAATGATGATTTTCTCATTTTCAGGGGAATTAAGACTTTAATAAAGATAAATTCAACACTTTGACAAACCTTTGGTGTTTCATAGCATCAGTAGATTACTTTACCTTATAATAAAAAATAGGCCCATCACGTTGCTTAGTCAGTATGAAGTCAGTGAAGTCTCTAAATCATGTAATATAACATATTATACAAATTCATCACAACAAAATTAGTGTGTTAATGGAGCACAATAATACAGATGTGCCAAAAGTGCTAAAGTGATGATGCACATGGAATATAAATGTATTGATTACGTTGTTATGGTAATTACATCCTACACACAACTTCAAGTACATGTCTGTTAATGCTGTAGTATTTTCCTATTTGCGAATTATGCATGCATGATGCCATATACTTTTATGCTGTATCTGTGCATTAGCCTTTAAAAATGTTTCAGTTGCTTTTTTTTGGTCAATATAACATGCAATATATTTCAGCTCGTGACTTTTTCAAATGAGAAATACAACAAAGGGTGCAAAAACCACCTTGTCATCCAGTTAATAAAGAATTACTACATTGGCATTTTACAGTGAATTACTTTCTATTTACTGTACTTTCTATTTCTAACGTTAAACACAATGTCGCTGGCTAACTCGGTCCATATCTTTGAGTCAGTCCAAGATAGCCAGGCTAATGTTACGCTACATATTATACTATAGGATATATCGACATATATGGATTTTTTTGGTTAGTACGTCCACTGACTGTGAAATTACCTTTGAAACGTCCTCCCACAGCTGGCAAACTGCTTGTTTTTGCAGTCAAATGCTGCACAAGTAGGCTTTTTTACTGCACATCTCTGTGGGAGTGGGGAATACCAATATGGCTTCTCTTTTTTCGGGCTATCAGCAATCCAATAAATAGAGATCAGTGGTTTGAACCAGCAACCTGACCTGTTGCTAAATGGGAAAATCCAAATTAGTATCGTTGAGATGATTGTCTGCCGTCATCAAGTCATAATTCCAGTAGAACCGAATCAGAAAATAAATTAATCAAGAAAACTCAAATTTTTAATCGCAGGGCTATGGAACCTTCAAACATTCTGTCTTGGTACAGAAACTTTCAGGTAGTTTAAAGGCTTTTCAATGAGATTCTCCAACATCAAGTAGAGCTTCATTGTTGAGTGGAAAGAAGATCTTTAGTAATGGCTTCAGACCCGATCGGGACGTTGCAGCAGCCTTCATAGGGCTCACATGTTTGTTCGTCCTCCGTTCCACCTTAGTCAAACTGGACAGAGAACATCTGACAACATCAGTCTTCTTGTCACAGATTCTCAGCTGGTTCAAGTTTTGCTTTTTATCACCCAGGTTTTCCTTCAGTGCTGTCCATAATTTAGCTCCCTGCATCTTCTCATCAACTCCCCTTCCCCTGCTAAAGGGAAGCATGTCCAAAGCAATATGCTGCCACTACCATGCTTCACTGTAGAAGTTGGTCATTGATGATTATGGGGATGTTTTGTTTTCCTACCCAACATATATTTCTGCATATAAGCCACCAATTCTGAGCAGAGAATATTCTACCACATGTTTGCTATGTCTTCTTTCTGGCTTGTGATCAGCCATCAACATTATTTTACACAGATTGAACTGTGGGTTTCTTTTTCTTCTTTCCAATTTTTTAGAACGCTTGATGGAACGCTATACAGTCGTGGTGTTGCACCCGACTTTATTCATGGGTGTCAGAGTAGAGAGGGGTAAACAAAACTGCACACCATCTATTTAGTTTATTATAGTTTAACTTCCATTTTTCCATGTATGAAGTTCTCTAAAGTCTGTGGCTGGGCTCTAAGAAAACGTGGAAATATCTTAGAAAATGAGGTCCTGTTAAGATTCTGACAACTTATAGAGCTGTAAACTTTAAAGACATGAAACAGATCTTTTTTTTTTTATTAATCTGTTTTTAAATGTAGATAATAAACAAATCTAGGTATACATACGCATCTCTAGATGAACAGAAAATACCGTTTTCCACCGGTGAAGAGAAAAATAAACAAGGTTTCACTCCCCTGCAGCTTTAACGATTACTTTCTTCTGTTGAAAATATGTGGGTGGATTCTTCCTCCAGATAATTATAAGCTTTAATCCTCTCTATGTTAAAACGAATTGGTATATTTATCTTGCAAGTCCCTAGGCATACACCTACATGTTTAGATGTCAAAGAGAGGGAAAATAAAATAAAAGAGAGAATTGTATAAAGAAATGTGCAGTTTTAGAGATATAGGGGGGCTTTTCAGTAGTGGAAGGGGAGAAAAGGTATTCACAGCTGATAATATAGGCGAAGCAGAGAAGTCATGAAGAATCAGCTCTTGTTAGGGTAATATGTAGAATCCATCTGTTCCATATAAAGTAAAGTTCATCACTTTTATATTGATCACATTTAAAAACTTCAAGCATCATGTTGATCTTACCAGTCACTAAGGGTGGGGCTGGGTCAGCCATTTTCTTTTATTAACACATTGAATGAATGAGTTTAAGCAATTTTTAATAACCTCTCTAGTGCAGAAAAACTACAGGTAACAAAAAAAAAAAAAAAAATAATTACATGTTCCAACCATTTCCATAAAAGTATAATTTAGGGCATGTCCAGAATATATGGTATTGTCAACCCATGGTCTCCAACATGTTGAGGTGTCTTACAGTATTTGTTTCTGTGATGATTCTGCTTTTCGTTTCTGTTTCCCCTCTGTTTGATTTAATCCTCTAAAAGTTTGTTATAAACCATCATTAGCTGGCAGCTTGGACCTGCTGGTAGCTTAGATTTCGACCTCAGTGTGACTGATAACAGCTGCTGATTGGAGGAAATATTTAGACGATCAACATGTTTCTGTGTGTAGGAGGAGGAAGGTTTTATCAGGCCCTCTGTGTGTCTGTTTGTGTCTTCCCAGTGGATTGCAGCGGTGCTGTGTTCAGGGAACGCTCTGGAGTGATCAGCAGCGTTAATTTTCCCGCTCCTTATCCAAAGAGCTCCAACTGCTCATACCAAATCGAGGTGGAGGAGGGATTCAGGCTCCATCTCCAGTTTGATCCCCGCTTTGACGTGGAGGACCACCCAGACGTCACCTGCCCCTATGACTACATTAAGGTGGGACTATCACACTTAAAACACAAACACACACACACACACACACACACACACACACACACACACACACAAATACACCCTCAGGTGCCCCAACAGGATGAATGTGT